GGCACGGCCCTGGCTCACTCAGGATGCTGATGGATGGTTGGTGGAATGGCTGTATGGTCGAAAGGACTAAAAGGTGGAAATTCTGAAGCCAATGTTGACGTAATGTGCCAAGGATGGGGCGTTGTCGTATGGACCAGCACATTCGGTTAACGCTGCCTTTCGCAAACTAATTAAACCTAATGAAAGTACGTTTTTTCCGGGCATTTTTCGGTTCCTTCCTGGGTTAAATGAGATAAGACGGAAATCATTAGCAAATGGCTTAAAATTGGCTTTTAACCGACGTCTTTATAGCTGCATTATACGCTGCCTTTACTGGGCTCAAAAGCTTGTGCTTTAATGGAAAAAGTTCAGTTCCATACAAGTTCTAATCGCCTGACATTGATGAGCACGACTTGATAGACATTTCGTGCTCGTTCGACATTCGTGTACAGTTTTTAATGGCTGTCGAATAGGAAAATCAATATGAAAAGTTGTTGCTGATTAACACGCTAAACGTACCTGCACACATCAAAATCAAACAATCAAGGCTATAATAAAGTTGCTAAGAATATCCAGGTGCAGACAAAATGATGGATCAATGTACCTTTGTTGTTCATTGAGCTTATAATTTATTCAGCTTTTAAGTAAGTAAGTAAATATAATTTTAGTAAAGCCTTTCATTTGCTATATTTAATATAATAATTAAATAATCTTTAAACGTCTCTACAACACCGTACATTTCCATCGTAAAACTTGATCAATAAAAACCCAATTAACAATAAACATTCCAATATAATTGCAAATATTAAAGAACCCGAAAAATATTTTCCCAAGTAAAGTAAGCCAAACTTCGGAGAAATGTAAAAATTTTATACTCGCTCCGCATGCAATTCACTGATTTGTGTTGAAAATATGCAAATAACCAAATGACTGACTGCCAGAAAATGCGATTGTAAAAACAACAGCAGTCCGGAAAAGCGAAAAAAGCTGAATAAGGGGAAATCTCTCGTGCGACATGTGCTCCTCCCACTTCATGTCCCTCAAACATTTAAACAGTCAGTCAGGTTATTTAAAGTTTTCTGTGTACGTCAGTACAATCCAGAACAGTTGTACAGTACAATTTGATATTCGCTGGAAAAAAAGTTTGAGAAGAGTGTTTTACATTTTTGATTTCACACTAACCGCCTCCGAACAGTTGACCCCAAGTAATTAGAAAACTTTTCACCCCACTACAGCTCGCCCACCGACTCCATGGAGATTGCACATCGGTTTCAACAATCGCCGAAAAGACAAAACAAAAACTTCATATTCTCTGGGCTCCTCGCCCCCAATGGTTTGAGTTTTCCTCTGGTTTCCCCAATTTTCGGTTCTGGCAATTGAGGCGATTGTTGTGGGAAGACAGTGGCAGAAAAGTGCAAATTGCCCTCGTTAGATGCAATAAGAAGGGTTTTCCGGGTAAAGAGGAGCCCCTGGGATATTCTCACTCCCTTGGTAACCAATAGAAGCTTCCAGTTTTCAATATATAAATATTCTCTAAGGATATTTAAACCAATACCCTTGATACTGAGGCTTAAAAAAGTAAATGAGTTTCATTAAGATACTCTAGATTTATATTCCTTTTTTATAATATGCGTGATCCACTGTCTTTAAGCAATTGATATACAATTGTTATTGATTAGAAAAAGTAATGACAGCCTAGAGAAAAAGAATACAGCTTATCACTGTTCTATTATAATGTATTTATAAAATAAACAAAATATTAAAAATACCAAACAATTGTAACTAAAGTTTTAATTTATTTAGCTATAAATATTTTATTATTTAAAGCAAATTGTTCTCATATTCTTCTTTAACAAAAACTTAAGCCAACAATTTATATACCACCATAACTGTCAAGCATAAATAAAAAGTAACACAAATAAAATACCACGGACTAAAAATTTGGTTAGACGGGACGTGTGAAAACTACGATGTGGGTGGCAGTAACCGACTCTTGACAGTTTCCTGCATCCAGGAGATAACATGAGCAACAAAAGCAGCCGCCTCGCCTTTTATACCATCCAACGGAAGATGCTGGGTGGTTATAGACGCAGGGAAACAATAGTGCGGATATAACTGCGAGTGTCAGTGGGAGATAATTCGGTAAAAGTTGAGTGAATCTGCACAGAAACAAATTTGAAATTTATTTCTCCAGCAAAAAACTATTTCACAGATAGAGAGAGTTTTGGACCCACCTCTAGTATAAAAGAGCTAACGACAAACACCCAGATTTAAAATATAATAATAATTTATTTATATAATTGTAGATTAGTATTTCAGTAATAAAATTTGTTCTCAGTTTTGTTAAAAAAAATGTGATCCGATTGAAAAAATGTTTTACCATATCCTTATGGTTTCTAAATGTTTTGTGTATACAAAGCGTGTATCTTTTATTGGTTTTTATAAGAATTTTTTCTTAGCCTGTGCATTGCCATAAATTTCATAGTTTTCCTAGAGGTTGGTTTAGAGAAATGCCTCCATTCTTTCGGTGCACCACGGGCCGACGCCCAGCTGACTGCGAGGAATCGGCGAATCGATCCGGGGAGTGACTAAGAATTAAGCATGGCGGTAGCCATATGCGAGCTGAATCGATAAGCGTGTGGCATGCAACCGTCGACCGACTGGCGACACTTAGCCGGCACTTGTTGTTGCTGCTGGGTAGGTGGGTGGGCCAGTGGGGCGGGTGTAGCTAAGTGGGTGGCAATGGGGTGGTTGGGGTAAGGTGTCGCCGTAAAAGTTTGACTGCCCTGCGCTGATGTAATACCGCAAGACAATTTTGCCTCGAACGTCATATGGCTGAACAAGCAGCGGGAAACAACAACAAAAACTCCAAGTAAAAGCCGGCTATAAGGTGCTCTCTCTTCACTTGCTCTTTCTATCTCTCCGCTCCTGCTTTCTCCGATTCTCTCTCCATTTCTCTTTCAGCTGCACATGCGCGAGTTCTTGAAATAATGGAAGGTTGTACCCTACAATTTGTGCGCAATGTGAAATGTGTAACTCTGTCCATACTACAGTGTTCCCTACAAAAAAGGAACCCGATATATTTAAGAAATTTATTAAGATAAAAATATAAGCCTTGGGAATGCATTAAACAACTTAGGATAAACAAAAGGCAAAGAAGAATTGTCCAGTACAATAATTTCAAGCAAACATTTACAAAATTCAAAGATTGTTTTCGATTTAAACTAAATTTCTTCTATTTTTCTTAAGGCAAATAAAATCTTTTAGTTTGTAAGTTAGGTAGAATTTAAGTCAAATTTTCCGTTGATTTACATATTTGTCAACATTATCATATTATCCATAATTGTTAAAAGGTTGCTTTGGTTGAACTAATTATTGTAAGTAATTCAACAAAAAACAGAAAAAAAATTATAAGATGTTGGAAGGTTTTAGGTGGAGAAGACCAGCAGAGTCCTACTGTACTCTGCGAAATGCTTATTGTCAGATTCTTTTTTCCTGCCATCCACAATCTTATATATTGTCATGGCAAGTTGATGAATCAGCTGTTTTGCACCGCCACTGGAAAGGCAGCGCTGGAAGGAGAGCAAGTGCCTCGGTCGTATATCTCCGGCGGATCCGTGTCCGGGTCCGGGTCCGAATCCGGGTGCTATGTGGCACCCCGGCCGGCCACAGCTGAGGGCCCAAACAAGCCACAAGCCATATGCTATTGATTTTCTGGGCCTTCTCTGCCTTTTTGCCCATTTTTCTTGCCTCAGTTCCATGTTCCATGTTTCTTTTTATTTTTATTTATTTTTTTGTTGGCTGTTACTTACTTTACGCTGACGCGATTGGTGTCGAGCGTAATGCAAGTTAATTTATTCGCTGCCAGCGAATTTCAGTTATTTACTTTGGGACTCCATATATATTCGCTCTATATTGCCTGAAAATAAGCACAGAAATATTGCATGCCTCTGGACAAACGACTTGTGACGGCACTCCAAGGATTGCAGACGTAAGGTGATATTGATCAACGTTATGAAAGCCAGCGGAAAATGTGGCCAAGGGGAAATCAGTTAAGTGGGAGAGTTCAAGGGATGGCGGAATCGATGGGTCATAAATCCCGATAAGCCAAGGTAAATCAAACCAATTACTTTAAGCGAGATGTATTGTTTTATTTAACGTTTATAGGATCAAGTTAAACTACATACAGCTGTTTCTGTGTAAATTGCAATTCCCAAAATAAAACGGTTGCCAAAAATGTAGTTGGACGAAATAATTAAAATTTTAATTATGATTCTGGGAATTAATTACCTCATTTTTCACGCTTAATTCCTGCTATGGTCCCTTGAGTCCGATTTAACCCTCGCATTTAATACCACAAATGGAATGTAAAAAATCCCTCAATATTAAAAATGCACCCTAATCCCACAATTCTTCCGAACGAGTCATAACTCAGGCCAAGTCACCCCATTTTCGGCTGCAGCCCCTTTCACTTGTCGCCTGCAAGTTCGCAATAAAAATCTATTATGTGTCCCACACACAACTCTCACATCCATACCCACACGCGGATTCAGACAACTGTCGTACATAAATCAAACGATTTGGACGCTATAAACGAAATGTTCGCTGTCTGCAAACTGGGCTAAGAGGCTAAAGGAGCGAAAACCCCGGAAAGAAGCCTGCAAATAGCTTAAGGACTCCGGTAGAGACACAAATACCACAAATTCTAGGGAGGAATATTTAACATAGCCTCTTTTGTGACATTATAGTATTTGTCAGTCCGGCGACATATTAATTTTTATAATTAAAACATTTGATGATTAACGTATTTGTTTTAAAAAACTTAAAAGTATAAAAATGTATTTTTTTAACTTCACTAACTTAACTTTTTTCTAACATAGGAATAGGAAATTAAACTCGACTTGACTTTCTGTTTTGTAATTCAAAGCTTGTATTATTTTGTAATGTACCTTATAGATCTCAAAAGGTATATATTATTTTAAGAGTTTACCAACTTTTCAGAAGTATTAGACGTTACTCACCTTGTCTACCGGCATTGATGGGCACGCTCTGCACAGATTCCAGAATGAGCCAATCATAGGGAAATGCTTTTGCTGTTTGCCAAACCAAAGTGCCAAAAATACAAATTAAACACGCGCACGTAGGGTTTATCTATTTTCGAAATTCGGCGATTGGCGTTGCTTATATTTAACAACTTTTCATGGGTCACACACACACGCGCCTTGCCTTTAAATTTAAATATTTCACCTCTCGCTCGCTCGCTTGCTCGTCCTCTCTATCTCTCTCTGTCGCTCACTCTCTATACGCACACGCACCTGGATAATGCGTAGCGAAGAAAGTGCGTTTGTATTGTCATAGGCCAAATTGGATTAGACTTCCGCTGCGGGGAGAAATCGAGGCGTGAGAAAAAGTATTGCATACCAGCAGGCGCCGAGTTCCGATGATGATCTCATGCACACATACACACACACACACACACTCAAGCCACCTTTTTATGACCCCCTGAATGTCAGCGCAATTAGCCAATAATACCTCGATTATATCGGGCAAACAATTTTATTGGTCATTTAAAAAGGAACCTGTGCGAGAGCCGCGTTCAGATTCTTATTTTTATGCCCTGGCAAATCGATATCTATTTTTCATGACAGCCCCGTGGTATGCAATACTTTTTAGCCGTCTGGTGCTGGCTGCAATTTTGCATTTCTTTTAGCCGTTTATTTTTCTGTGGTCGTGGTCACTGGAGCGAGTCGTTGGTAAGACAGTAAAGCCAAGAAACTTCAGGTGAAACACAGGAAAACACACTTTTTAAAATTGAACCGATTGCTCTCTGCTCCCTGCTCTGCCGCTGCTGCTACTGCTGCTTATATAGCTATGTGGATCTGCTCTGGCTCTTTCGGTTTCAACTCGACGACGTTACGAACACGACTGAACCTGAACTGAAAGGTCTCTGAAAATAATCCACCGACCGAAGCCAAAGCGACGGCGTTGGAGTTGACGCAGGGCCTGGAAACTGGGGAGAGCGATTTGGAAGTGGAACCGCGAATGGAAGCCTCACTAAACATATGTTCGCATGGGCGTCGGTGTGTCAAGAATGTCCATTACTAATTAAGCAGAAAATTAATAAATTATGAAGTTACTTTTGGGGTGAGACGGTTGTAATTTACTGCAAATTTAATTTTGTTTGCTTTGCCTTTCTAAAACCTGGCAACGCTGACATGCGCATGCAAACGGTTATATTCTGACGTCACAATTGACCATAACAGCTGACATTGTTCAGAATATTTGAAAAATTACCGTTACTTACTAGTCATCCCTAAGAATATGCCAATGTATTTTGATTCCAAAATTCTAAAGAAAAAGCTTTTTGACCGCAGAAATATTTAAAATAAAATGATTTGTTTTTGTGGAAGGTCCAAAAATAATAATTCATAAAAGGAAAATACAAAATTGTATTTAAACTTTTCAAGCTGTTATAGCATCGCATCTTCAACTTCTTAAACGCATTTTAAATATTTTTAATTTGATTAGTTTTTTGTTAAAAACAAAAGTAAAACCCTTGGGGCTAAAAACTTTATTCTGTATAAAAAATCTTTAAATTTGAAATATTTTACCAAAAAATTGGTAATTGAAAAATAATAGTTTTTGACATGGCCAACTCATTTCAATTTTTTAAATAGTTTTAGTATATCATAAACTTCATGGAAGTATTTTCCGCGGTTGATGGACGGTCACACAGATGTTTGTTTTCTTTTTTTAATTACATTAAATTACTTTTGCTATAAATGAATACCTTTATACTTTTATATGTTAAATAAAAGTTGTAATGTAATATAACAGATTTAAACTTAGCAATTAAATAAAGCAACTCCTTCCGGAATTCAATGATTCGCATACGGCGGCAATTTGTGAGCAGGTAGAAAACATTACTTGATCTACACATGTTATGACTTACCTAAAGAAAATCTTGCAGCTGCCCCAGCTGAAGAACGCGTGCCATGCCCTCGAGGTGCCCGTCAAGAAACAGCAGCTCCAGAATGGCCGGCAACCGACTCTGGAATGGATTCTGCCATCTGCGGTTGCGCAACAGGAGCGGGAACTGCTAGAGGTGGTGAACCGGCACAAATTCGATGAGACCTTTGTCGAGAACGTCCGGATAGTGCCCAGTGCCGGACGCATGCAGCCAAGATCGAGTTCCAGCTGCAGCCACAGGCCTTTGTGGAGCAGCTTCTTCAAACCAAAGCGAATACTCTTAAGCCTTCCCCTTCCCCTGCAGAGCACATAGTAGTGGAGTACAGCTCGCCCAACATAGCCAAACCCTTCCATGTGGGCCACCTGCGCTCCACGATCATCGGCAATGTCCTGGCCAATCTGCACCAGCATTTGGGGTATCGCACCACCCGCTTAAATTACCTTGGAGATTGGGGTACGCAATTCGGATTACTGGCACTGGGTGTGCAAATGGAGAAAGTCAGCGACAAGGAGATGCAGGCATCTCCAATTGAAACGCTTTACAAATCATACGTGGCCGCCAACAAGGCAGCTGAAGAAAGTCCGGAGATCGCCCAGCGAGCGAGGGATCTCTTTGCCGCCTGGAAGCAGGCACTGATGAAACCATGGCCAAGCAATGGCAGCAGTACAGAAAGTACACCATAGAGGATCTGTCCAAAGTCTACAACCGATTGGGCGTTCATTTCGATAGCTACGAATGGGAATCGCAGTACTCTCAACAGCAAATTCAGGATGTTCTAGACAGACTGCGCAACGCTGGACTCCTGCAACCAGAGCTTGATGGTCGAGAGATTGTCGTGGTGGATGGTAGACGCATCCCAGTGATCAAGAGTGATGGCTCCACTTTGTACTTGGCCAGGGATATCGCTGCATTGCTGGAAAGGCTCTCCAGATTACAGTTCTCGCGCTTGCTCTATGTAGTGGACAATGGTCAAGCGGATCACTTTAATGCCCTTTTTAAAACAGCGGCCGCTGTCGAAGATCGCCTGAATCTGGATCAGCTGCAGCATGTTAAATTTGGCCGTATCCATGGTATGAGCACTCGCCAAGGAAAGGCAATCTTTTTAAAGGATGTCCTGATGAAGCACAATATATAATGCGAGAGAAACGAAACATCAGTGCAAGTAGGTACATAATACTTACCGAAACCCATTAATTCTCACTCCCTGCTTTATATTCTAGCCACCAAAGAAAATCTTTCTCTGAAGATGATCATGTATGTGATATCCTGGGCGTCTCGGCTGTCCTAGTCAATGTTCTTAAGCAGCGTAGGCAACGAGATCACGAGTTCAGCTGGCAGCAGGCACTTCAAGTGAATGGGGATACGGGAATCAAGCTCCAATACACACACTGCCGCCTTCACAGTTTGCTAGATAACTTCAGGGAAGTGGATCTGGACGACATCAAGCCCAATTGGCAGCATTTCGCACAGGAGCCAGCGGATGCCTTGGACCTGCTCTACGAACTGGCGCGCTTTGATCAAAGCATTTGGCAATCGAAGAGCAACTGGAGGCCTGTGTGCTAGTAAACTATCTCTTTGGATTGTGGTGAGTAAACCATGATAAAATAGCTGTTTTAAGGATAGAATTTATAGTCAATGATTAGACTTCATACTAATGATTTAACTTATTTTACCATCCAGCAATGCCACCAGTCGCGCATTAAAACGATTACCCGTAAAGCAAGAGAGCTGTCTGAAAAAGCAGTCCCAACGCCTACTGCTTTTCCACGCTGCTAAAACAACACTGGCCGGGGAATGCAGCTCTTGGGCTGCGTCCACTAGACCAAATGTAGACGAATGACACCTCAACGCTAATTGTTAACGTACTTGATATTTATTAAAACATTTCGATATAAAATGCAGCCTAGTATTGTATATCCACGTGCCCGCTTAGCGCTTCTTCCACGTGTACTTGCGGCGTGCTCCTTCCTGTCCGAACTTCTTACGCTCCCGACGACGGTAGTCACGTGTCAGCAGGCCGGCTGCAACATAAATTGCAATTAGCGGCAATAAGCCAGTGGAGGCGCTACATAGGAGCCTCAGGCACTTACCCAGACGCATTGACTCAATCATCTCTTGATCGACAAAGCTGCGCAAACTCATCGCGATGCCCCAGCGGATGGCTCCAGCCTGACCGGAAGGTCCGCCTCCCTCGACATTGGCCTCCACATCGACTTTGCCCAGCAGTTCGCTAAATTGCAGCGGGAAGAGCAACTAGAAAAATCGAGATAACGAATTGGCGAATGAGAATGAGATAATGTCGTGGCCACCGTTAGATGTCAAGTTCGAGCGCCCGAGGCAGCCATTGTACGGATCTCTCTGTATACAAAATGATGCTGCGATGGCGTTCCTGTACAACAATGCGGGTAGATAATGGCGGAATCGTTAGCCAAATTAAAGTCTGTCGGCCGCGGCCACTAAACTGCAACAGATTGTTGCATGTCCGCCTGGCAATTAGCAAACTCGTCAATCGAGTGGGTGGGAGCTGAACAGTTCGTCTGCCAGCTAGGCTAGGTGTGATGCAAATTATAAGTGCATTATAGCACTGCATCAAGTCCGGATAAATGCAAAGCCGCGGGCATGATCAGCACGCGCTGTCCCGTTAATAGGTTGGGTAATAGGTCGAAATACGTAATTAGTCAAGTTCCTTTATAGTACATTAAAGACAGTTGAGTATTGTAAATAAACGAAAAACTGTGTTTTATTACATGGAGCCAGACCAAAAAACAATTCAAATACAAAACAGGTCGCCAAAATCAACAAAAAAGGAAATAATCTGGACTATAAATATTTACACTTCATTTTGTTATTCTGTTAGCTTCAGTACCTTCAAATCATTGATTGAAGTCTTCTGAAGGAAAACTATAAAAAAATTAAAATTTTTAATAAACCCTCTGTCATTATTTTTTGATAGCATTGGGTTTGATGTATATTTCAAATTGATTTGGGTTGTATTACAATCATAGGATTTTCCTACATGCGATATTTCTTTTTGATATCGTTTTTTATTTCCGACCCTCTAAGAAAGGGTTAAAAATAAGGGTATCTTGTTCATACTCAAGTTAATCGAGGAGTTGAAATCCCTTCGTGAATGACTAACTTCAAAAGTTTCGGGCGAAAAGAAATTAATCAAACAATTTGCATCTTTAGTACACTGCTCTGACGCCAGTCACAAAGATCACAGGTTCCACAGATCAAAACAAATCGTAATTCAATTTTTTCGATTCGACTGCGTGGGAAACAAAGTCAAGGGGCTTGACAAACGTAACGCCTAACAATGGTCGGAGGCGCATAGACAAAAGCGTTATGATTAAAAAACAATAAACAATAAAACCGCGACAATAAAAGAGGAAGAGCCATTTTTAACTTTTTGTTCTTGTCCTCTTTTTGGCAAACCAAATCGACAATTGCCATCAATCACTGAAAAATTGCCACATGAACAACAACATGGGAAAGAGACAGATTTTGATTTGTTTAAACAAATTGCTAGATGACTTCACGCAACAGTAACAACAATAATAAACATAATAAAAGGCTTACGAACAAGATTTTTAAATTAATGTAGGTACACAACACACAAAAAACGAATGCCAAAGACGAGAGACAGAAATGCTTAATTGGCGGCGATAAAAATAGCAACAGATTTGCAGAAATGTGACGAGGCGAATAATAAACTGGTTCCCCCAACTTCAGGGTTCCCCAAATCCCAAATCTCTCGTAATGTCACCAATAGGTGTGGTTTCGGGGAATTTCTGGTTGATGTGGGTGGTGTTTTCAAAGGGAGACAGCCTACCGGCATCTCTGGACTTCAAGAAAATTCGCGGCAAAATTTTATTATGATTTAAATGAGTTTTATAGTTTGACACATGAGCGAAGTCGACACGACAGAAAGCCACGAAGATATCGCTCGGCGGACAAACTGTACAAGTGTAACGGTGTCGGATCTGGGGATATAGTATATATACTAAGTATACATCTTCTTCATTGGCGCTCGTTCGTGCGGCTTAGTTTGGGACACTCATATCGCGTACAATATCATTTCGGCGCAGTTCCTTTTATCAGTCGATCCCACGTCGTTGAGCGCGCGCCTCAAGTGTCGGAAAATATTACATCGCCCCCAAGAAAATTCCATCTGAACTACACATATATCCCTAGAAAAGGACTATTCTAAAAGCAAAATGTCGCGATCATTGATTGTTCGCGATCACTGGGACTGCAATTAAAAGCAGCCATTGAACAATGTAAAGTGCATTTTAAAATTATGTAGAATATTAACTAGAACTGTGTGTTTACTAACTAAATATTAATTATAGTCCAGCGAATCAGAAGCCAACATTTATTGATTTAAATTAAAACCTTTTTCGCCAAATCTTTAATATATTGCAATACACAATGAATTGCGTTACATAAGGGAACGTCTCGTCATAAAAGCAGTTTTAATATATTTGAAAAAATTTAAGTCGCTATAAGAAAAGGTCTTTAATTATTTTAATTTATTTCTACACACAAGTAACTTTTCTCACATTAAATAGCAATAACAAACGACTTTCTGGTAATTTTATAGTTATAGAACTAAGAGAAAGTTTTGAATTTAAAATATACTTTTAATTTAGCATGCGAACAAAGAAAGTTTTAAAATTGATAAAATAAAATTATTTAAAAGGTTCTAAGCTTTTATATTTTTTACACGAAATTTTTGACCATCTTCGTTTCTAATTAAAACTTCCTTTAACAAACACGTACTTAAACATTTGGTGTAATTATAAATCTGGCCAGAACTATAAAATATTCCATTAATACTGCGAAATACCGCCCCAGTATCTGAGTACACTTACCCTCATATCAGTGAAATCCAGCAATTTCCATTACAAAATCTACCAAATGGACAATAAACGATCTCTATAACCGAGTGCAGCTTATGAATAGCAATTGAGATTTGTTTACACTCGGTGCGCAGCTTTTGTCGACTGCATTATCCTTTAATTCGAGCACTATGGCTCGGAATCAATTGCAGCTGCATAGGCGTACGAGTATATATAAATCGGATCTAGTACTCAGTGGCTGTACGGCGTAGTGTGGGGAATGGGCATGCGCTTCAGGTTCAAGGGCATTATGAAAGCAACGCAAAAATAAGACTTAACTCAGCCCAATGCGTTTGCTCACATAATAACCCCCTTAAGTCCCCCACAAAAGCGCGAGTAAAGCGAAGAAAAAGTGTCAAATTGATTTCAATTATAATTGAATCAACGAGCGGCAAAAGAAATACCCGAGAAAGTTAACGAACGATCGCGAAGACCGCTCGGCGAATCGCCATTTCCACCGCTCGATGGCGGCGCAGTTTTCCAAAATGGCCGGCGGCGGTCGGCGGTCCGTCGTAACGGGTAAACGGCACATGGCACTTCCGGGCCCTCGAAGTCCGTCCAACGCTCTGTTTAAAGTCTAACACTTTTTCGCAAGTGCAAAGATTCATTAGGAACATATTAATTGATTAGGCGAATTCCAGCAATTCACACAACGCGGCAAAAGTGGCAGCCAATTTGTAATCACACGGGGGCGTTTTAAAATAAACATTTGTTTAGTGTGTTAGCGACTGTTGGGGCCTTGCAGACTCCAGACACCAACCCAAAAGCCACACAGAAAAAAAATAATGATACAATATTCAAGTCAGCATATGAAACCACATTTTAAAAATTCCATTTCTTAAATATTTTGAATACTTCTCATTACCTCTTATTTAATATCTTAATGTCTCATTCGTTCTTAACAAAACACAAATGTATTTTTCTGTGCAGCACACCCCAACGAATCAAAAACTGGTTTCTCAACTACGCACAGATTTTGATTAATTTGCTCGCATAATTTAGTCAGCTCATTTTGGCCAACGTTTTTTGTCGTTACCTTGTTTATCGCCATATCTGTTTAATCAGTCAACGGATTTTTGCTTTGCCTAATCAAAGAAAGTTTCTCATGCGTTGTCGTCAGGCAAACAGAGACTCTTTTTTTCGTTTCTCATTAACTTTTGTTTATATTTTGCAAACAAGTTTGAAAGATTCCCAGAATCGCTTGAGAATTGTTTACGGTAATGCGATGCCGAAAGTAATCCAACAAATGGAACTTAAACAAGCTTAACGCTTCGCTAACTAATTTAATCTAATGAGACACCGTAGTTCCCTAGATTCCTAGCAATCGTGTAACTAAAATTACACAATCTGGTGGAAAAGCTGGAAAAATACGCAGTTATACTCATAGACTTGTATTTTTACCGAAGCAGATGTTTGCATACCGATATGGTAAAATCAAATGCAAGCAATAAAGAATTTGGTGGCCAAACAAGATGATTAAGAGGGAATGTCAAGACGAACAATGGGAATAAATAAATTAGAAAAGAAGAGAAGGGATAACTGGAATACATTTAAAATTTTATTAGAATTAATTAAATCTAGCAAATTAAGAAACCTAATCAGGAGGAATGACTTGCATTTTGTAAAAACACTTTATAGAATTAATCAGTTGACAAGGTTCGTAAAAGTTAATTGATTACTATTAAAGGAGTTATATAAAGAAGAATTCCATCGATTTCCCTACTAAACCGCTCCTGATTGTTGGAATCTGCTTACATACTGAATGAATGAGTACTTCCATATCTGAGGTTGACATAGATTGTAAATAATATGAGCAAACAAAATCAAGAAAAAATAAGCAAATAAAACATGGGTGTGGCTGAAAGGGGCGGCTTATTCATAACCTAGAGGTTACGGATAATATAGTTTTCTCAATACTAATAATTAAATAGTTACAAAACAAATACTAGCTAGATAATCATATTATTATCATATATTAGTTTACCACTCAAATATAAATACACTTATATCATGTTTAAACGATATAGGAACATATTTTTGAATCTATCCTAATTATATGGATAAGAATGACTAACCTGATATATACACTTCAGCAATACACTCAACTCAATCCCCCTTTAAAGAGCAGTCAGAACCAGTAGCACTTAAAGATAAATCCCCAGATAGTCTGGCGATAAAGGTTATGATTGTGATAATGCGGGCTTATCGCTGCGTCAAAAGGAAGGCGCTTAGATAACTGCGACCATGAGTGTCGCATCCAACGCACGAGTAGGTTTCTTAGCCAGAGTCCATCCAGCCAGCCAGTTAGGGAAAGTCACCCCAGTCGGTTTGAGGAGTAATCCAAAGAAAAAGTGACGCGAAGATTAATATTTGTGCAGATATTTGGGTTGTGGGTGTGCAGACCTAGGCGAGCTGCAGTCTGTTTGGGAAAGCTCAGCGGGATTGCTGAGATAGATACCTCCTGAAAACCACTGTCCATAAACTTTTCACCAAACTATCGTTGCAGGCCATTGAAAATGTCAACCAGTCGTTGAAATTGGGCTATAAATTGGCGCTCCGGTGGCGTATGATATTGGAAAGTAACTTTTTCGCATATTTATTGCCGATTGCAGGCGGTGACAAAAAACCCAAGTTGCATTTGCTCCAAGTTTTTTGCGCATATTTGCGCGTTTTAATTGCAACAACCACGAAAGCAGCAGCATTGACACCGGCGACGATAGCAGCAGCAACTTCTGGCCGTCACCATGGAGAATCTTGGCTATAAGGAGGGCAGCACAAAACCCCGCCGCATGACACGTTCGATCAGCGTCGTTACCAAGACCGAAGTGGAACAGCCGCTCACGGAGAATAATGCAAATAACCGGTAAGTGCCAGTTGGAGTTGCCAGTTTTCAGTACCTGTTGCAGTTGCAGAAATATCTGGCTACAACAAAATATATACAAAATATATATAGCCGTGATTGCCGAACCCAAAAGTCGAAGACGCGGAAGCATTCCATGATTTATGTGACAAAGAATTGCCATCAAATAAAGCAACATGTTACTCGCAAAAAACCACCAGTTTCATATTTTTATAATGTGTGCATTAAATTTGAAGGAGTTTAAACCACTTTTTTGTGGTTGTAGTAGGGTGTTACTCCCACTAAATGCGAAAAATACATCTGTTAATTGAATTTGGCAGTTCAGGAACCGTAGTTATTACTTTACTTGTTTCACATGTTAGTAATTAGACGAAAAAGAAATTAGAAAAAACTGAGGTAGAGGCAAAAAAGGTTATATTGTAGTTGCTGATAGCCAGAATAGTAATTAGGGAGTTTTTTCAACCAAAACAAAGTAAGCAACACAAAAAAAATAAAAGCCTTTTGTAAATATATTGTACGTCATTGAATTAAATATCTTTTGCCAAGTGTAATATTCAGTAAAAGGCTGAATTAATTACAACAAGATAATATCGTTAAAATATAAAAAGTTCCTTTTCTTCATTTTATTTATGTTATTAGTTTTTATTTATGTATATATGTATGTATTTTAAGGTTAAGACCTATAAGGGCTTAAAGCTCTATTTTAGGGTCATGGCATTCTTCATTGATTAAAAATACACAACCTTCGATTGTTTATGTTATTTGCCGCCTATTCCAACATCTTGCTAAAATCTTTTTTTAGAATAACCTTACTTATAAAAACTCTAAAGTACACTCCAAAGTGAAATGCGCCGAAAATTTTCACTCCCACTCGCACCGAATTCGCAGACTTTTTGGAGATTGCTCACTCTCTCTGAAGTATCTTGCTCTGTAAATACCTTTAATTTACAGCTGCGGTCAAAATAATGGGACCTAATATGACTCTTACAAACTGGGCGCTTTAATTTGTCGAAATAATTAACTGATAGTTTAAAACTAATCACTATAATCACTTCAAAGGTACTTTAGTTTAGTTTAGAATTGAATATCATGCTTTTTCATACAAAGAGTAAAATTAATTATAAAATCAAACTTCAAAAACAAAAAAAACAATCTATATTTTTTAAAATCAATATTTAAATTTAACAACTTAAACATCAAAAATTAACTAGGCTGAAAGTATAAACACTTACTAGCCACTTTTTTTTGGATAGACGAAGACATACATACAAGTTTCATCTTAAATTCCCCTAGCTAGTATTTCGACCCTACCTGTACAGGTATCGCCCCACCTGCCCTCCCGCTCTCTAGATTACCTCTCTTTCAATCTCGATCGACGACTTAACCAACGCTTACCGATTTTCATCGAGCTCAGTCGGTTTTGGGACAACAATGCAGGCGGACGCGTTCGTTGCTGGCTAAAACAGTGCGGAAACAACGAAAAACCGTCACAAAATACGGCTAGAACGCGCTCGAAGTGATCGTCGTCGCTACAGAAACAATAGCAAAAACCCCTAAAACAACGTCCGAAAAAATCGAAAAACCGACAGCAACAACAAAACGGAAGTGAAAAATTCGCGTTTTTCACACAACATTTTGCATTTTCCGCCCGTTAGACACAATTGTCTAGGCCCCCACAAAAGGCCCCCATTGTGAGGCACTTGTCCCGTTCCGACCCCATCCAGCCCGAACCGATCCGATACGATACGATCCGTAGTCCGTATTCTGTGGATCGGTCGACTGTCGGGACGGGCTCTCCCATGTATTTCGGAAATGAAATTAGAAATTGAAAACAGCTCATTGGCGAATTGGCATCATCCGTGGATATGGCTGCAAACGGTGTACGTATTCAGTCCAAGTCGGATACCCAGATTCCCGGCTTAAGTGCCCAACAAAGGCGGTGGCTGTGGCGGTCGTAGTGCTTTAGTTATACAACAAGTGCAGCAGCTGCTGACCATGGACGAGGTCTGAAATTATGCATCGTGTAACCATGCTGAGCAGACCCGAGTTGGCGACCAAGAAAATAAAACAAATTCTACCAGCGCAGTCGGTAAATCCATCAACGTACGACAACAGTGAATACTGAACAGTGAAACAACCAAAACCGCTTTAAGCAAAGCGCCAACTTTGCATAACTCCCAACGCACCAATAACACACAATAATTATTTAAAATTATGCATGCTCGAAAAGTCAACAGATCTCGAACTCTGTTGTTCAGTGCCATTTAAGCAATGGGGAATATATGTTTACAAATCTATAAAAAGTTTTACTGCTCGAGATGAGAGTGGAGACAAAGAGAAGTGCGAGTCTATCTAATGGCTTTGTTTTATTTTTTAGCCAACTCAGACAGCTGTACTAAATACTAAATTGTTGGTTTAATGATCTTTGGAAGCATTAAATTAATTACAAGTTCTTACTCCCGACTAATTACAAGTTCCTAATAAAACCCTAAACAAGTTAGAAACAGAAGGCAACGCCATTTAGAGGTGTAAAACATCTATACGTGATGTTTTCACTATAATTACTTCGTAGTTTGAAAGATATTTAATTGTTACTGACTACCATTTTAAACCTTAAGTTCCATCAATGAGTTGTATATGTTCTAATAATAGAAAGTCAGGTTAAAAATTAACCGCAATGATATATGCCAAATAAATTAAGAAAAACCTCCACTGCTATCAAAATATACACTAATCACAGACAAATTTCTTTGATTGCCTCGAAAACCATAAAAACTGATTCACAGAATTTTATACCCAGTTGAAAATCATTTCAAACCCTCGAAACCTGTTTAACATTGAACGATTAGCATAGAGAAGTTCAAAAGTAATGTTATTCTAAAAGTTTTTTAATGATTCAACGCTTCGAAAATCTTGAACTCATCAAAATCCACTTAATGATTGAAAATTGAAAATCATTGAAAATTTTCCACTTATCATCAATTAACTTATTTTGACAAATCGATTCTAAGCATCTTAATAATTAATTAAGAGTAGGAAATTAATTTGAAAAGCAATAAAATATTTAATTGCAAGTTCTAAGACATTGCTATTGCAGTTTAACTAAGTTCATTTCTCAGCTCAAATTCGATTTGGAAGTATCATAATTTCTAAAACAATCCATCTTTGATCAAATTAATGGAGTTTTTTATATCGAAATGACTCAATTGATAGATACACATCCTAACAAACAAAAATAATAGTAAAAAAAACCAACCATACAGGTCCTACTGTACTGATCGGTGTTAGAATAAGCAATTCCAAGTTCTCATGGCATATGAGAATCTTCCACCAATCAAAGTTCTTTGTTGGGAGTTATCCAACCGTAGAACATCTGTGCAACTTTTAATTCATCTGTACAACTCATCCTCTAATCGCTATGCATCTCCAACAGTTTCAAATCGATTCCACCCAACTTGATGGTGCGATGGCGGAACAACACTGACGCCATGATCGAAGCTCAGTACCCGACCGCTGGAGAATTCGAATACATGGAGTGTGGACCGTCGCCGCCGGCGGAGAGTGCGCCGAGCATGTACGATAGCTTCGAGGAGCCGACCAGCGAGCTGAGCGTCCAGATATGCAACGATACGCTGCGGATCAGCCTGATCGACCAGATGAAGAGTGCCGCGGGTCGCGTCAAGTTCTTCGAGGACATCGAGCAGAGCAACGTGGTGGCCGAGGGCATCCGGGCGCACTTCGAGTCCGCCTCGAAGCTGGAGAAGAATCTCAGCTACCTGTGGGCCGCCTACCTCAAGCGCTGGGATCTGATCGAGAGTCTGCTGGAGGCGGGAGCCGACCTGCACTTCTGCGATCAGAACGGCATATCTGCCTTGCATCTGAGTGCATTCAGTGGCTGTCTGGCCACCTTGGGTCTTCTGGTGGCCAAGGGTTTGAATGTCAATCTACAGTCCAAGTGCTACACGCCGCTGCATTGTGCCGCCTTTGGCAATGCGGCGGAGGCGGCCAAGTTACTGATCAACAATGGGGCCGACATATCCAAGGACACCAGCAAGCCAAACTGCGAGGAGAGCCTGCTGCACTGCGCCGTGCGATCCAATGCCCTGGAGTGCTTGCAGATCTTCATTAGCGAAGGCGCCGATGTCAACTCGCTCAAGCCCAATGGCACCAATGCCATTCACCTGGCTGCTGACCTGGGCAATCTCCAGTGCCTGGAAGCCTTGCTGAATGCGCCCAATGCAGACGCCAATGTGCGTATCTGCATCCGTGAGAAGGAGTCCACAGCTTTGCATCTGGCAGCGGATGAGGGAAACGTCGAGTGTGTGGACTTGCTTCTGGCCAAAGGTGCGGATGCCAAGTTGAAGAACCATCGAGGATTCACTCCCCTCCACCTGGCAGCTAGAACTTCCAGTTTGGATTGCGTGGAGTCTCTTTTGAGGAACGGCAATGCCGACGCCAATGCCGAGGACTTCGATCACCGCACTCCCCTGCATGCTGCAGTGGGAAAGTCGGAGAATGCCTACGACATCATGGAGACCCTCATACAGTGGGGTGCCAATGTCAACCACAAGGACATCTATGGTTTACCGCCTTCACCTGGCTGCTTTGGATGGCCTGGTGCAGTGCGTCGAAATGCTGATTTCCACGGGGCGGATGTGACCACCAAATCGAAGAAGGGCACCTCCGCGCTGAACGTGATCACCCGGAAGACTCCCGCTTCAGTGGCCATGATCAGACAGAAACTGGATGCAGCTATTACGCTGCACCACTCGCAGGTGAGTCAATATATACTCCATACTTTACTCCTACTCAAGTTCCTTCATATCTCTCCCAGGATCCCGTAAATCGCGAGGTGGAGCTGGAGCTGGATTTCCGTCAGCTGCTGCAGCACTGTCATCCGCGCGAGATCAGTTACCTGAACACGTTCGTCGACGAGGGTCAGAAGGAGATCCTGGAGCACCCGCTCTGCTCCTCGTTCCTGTACATCAAGTGGGGCAAGATCCGCAAGTACTACATTGGCAGGCTCATCTTCTGCTTCAGCTTCGTGCTCTTCCTTACGCTCTACGTGCTGACAGCTTTGGCCCACAACTGCTACAATGGTAGCAAGAACGATAACACGACTATTCCGGCGCAGGAACTATGCCAGAAGCAATCCATCCTGGGAGATATGCTCAGGAACAACCCCTTCGTGATGGAGATGCAGTGGTGGGTTCTGGTCGCCATCACTATAGTGGAGATATTTCGAAAGCTATATGGAATAACGGGCTATCCTCATTTCGACACTACGTAACGCAGGTGGAAAACATTATGGAGTGGTTTGTGATAACCAGCGTGTTTGTCATATCCTATATCTACACCAACAAGACGTACACGTTTCAAAACCATATAGGCGCCTTTGCCGTGCTGCTCGGTTGGACGAATCTCATGTTGATGATAGGTCAGCTCCCGGTCTTCGATGTCTACGTGGCCATGTATACGAGAGTCCAGGGAGAGTTCGCCAAACTTTTCATGGCCTACTCCTGTATGCTGATTGGGTTCACCATCAGTTTCTGCGTTATCTTTCCTTCCTCGTCGTCGTTTGCCAATCCCTTTATGGGTTTTATAACAGTGCTGGTGATGATGATTGGTGAACAGGACTTGTCGCTGCTGATAAATGATCCCGAGGGAAAAGATCCGCCTTTCCTGCTGGAAGTCAGCGCACAAATCACCTTCGTGTTGTTCCTGCTGTTCGTAACCATATTTTGATGAACCTGCTTGTGGGCATAGCAGTGCACGATATCCAGGGATTGAAGAAGACAGCGGGACTATCCAAACTAGTGCGACAGACCAAACTGATCAGCTACATAGAGTCGGCGCTGTTCAACGGCTACCTTCCGACCTGGCTGAGGAACTTGCTCCATTATACAGCTTTAGTGTCTCCACAGGCTTACAGGGTGGTTCTATGTGTCAAGCCGCTAAATCCCAGCGAGAAAAGATTGCCCAGAGAAATCCTGATGAAGGCTTACGAAGTGGGAAAAATGCGCAAGCAATTTGGCCATACCATCTCCTCGAAAAACTCAGCCGAAAACTATCTGTCGTACAAAAACAAGTATAACAACAATAATGGCGCTACGACGGGATATGTTCTACCCGATGCGGATCCGGATTCAGCGCAATTCACCACACTGACCACCAAGATCGATGATAACGCAGATCGGATTGAGTTCCTCACCCAGGAGATCCAGGAACTGAAGCAGGCGCTCATCTCGCAGCAGCAGCAGGCCAGCAAAGTGATCGACAAACTGCTGATTGTGATCTCCAATCAGCAGAAGCAGAATCTGCGAAGTAGCAGGAGCATTTAGTGCACCCCATTCGGAATATTTATAGATCAGAGTTAACTGTTTCCTAGACCTAAGGGGGTCGTTTAGATCCCACAAAAATCCAGAACATTGTTGATATTATCGTAGCAGCGAGTTGTAGTTAAAACAATTTTGATATCGGTGCGCCTGGCGCCCTATAATAAGCTATATAGCCATATACCACACCATACTACACTATTATCAATACAAATACTATAACTAGCAGTTAGTTAAATTAGAGGCGAGCAGTTGGCAGGATTGATTTGTGGCTGGTTTCAGGCTGTGTCTTTGTTGTTTTGGCGTTGTCGTCAGAGAGTCGTTTATATAGTAATTTAATGCAAATTATTATTCTTAATAAAGTATATGCTATATCTATTGCTATGAGCTGACTGTGTTTTATTAGAAGCTGGCAGAAACTGGCGACGGACCCTATAGCGACTAATATCCAGGTAAAAAATTTAAAATGAACAAATATACTCAGAAATTTGTTTTAACATTTAACTAAATAAAAAATTATAAAAAAATACATAAATTTTTCATTAAGCAGTCTATTTATGTTGTCTCAAACCAGAATATAAATAAATAAGTAAAAAAATTATGTTCCCTGTCAAATCTGATTTTGTTTTCTAGTTTCATCAAAAAAAAAAGCTAACAATATAAATTAAAATAAAATGTATCAACATATTTTGGATGAAGAAATGCCAACAATTTTGAAAAACCCGATTTAAATATTAAATTTAATGACTCGACTCACCTGCTCTTGCAGTTTTCGTCCTCGAAGTAGGATATATCCTTTCCATTAATGCTGATCTTTCCCGTACCAGGCAGTCGAACTGTGACGTCGGCTCTGGCAGTTTTGCGCAGGCACTCGTAGGTGGTTATGTACTGACGACCCTCCCCATCGATCTTCGGCTTTGGCACCTCCAGTTGTTTGGATTGATCCATCAGCGGTTTCAAAAAGCGCTCAATAAATGTTTTACTCTTATAGGCATAAGGCGATGCGATCAGACGTTCCATTGACTTGGTAAAGTTCGAATATTCGATATCGGCAATGCTCTCGACCAACAAAAGTTCCAGCTGATCTTGGGGAGCAGTTGGAATCCGGAAATTTCTCTAAAAATGATAGAATGTTAAATAATTGATCTAGCACAATGCAGAAAACTTCCTTACAGTTTCTGGTTCTCATCGGGCTTGTTACCGCGACGTAGCAGGCGCTCCTCCAGATCTGCCAACTTATTGGTTTCATGCACAATGTCCTGGAAATAGGAGGGATAATTATAAATGAAAAATAATTAAATCATCTAACTACGAAAGCCAAAAAAGACTTTACTTTTTTTCTGCCTAACACATTTTTTATCAACTCAACTAACAAAATACATATTTCTTATATAAATGATAATAAGCAAAATAGTTATATCTTTTAACTACACCATAAATGAGCTGAAGCCATAGCTGCCAGACCACTAAACACCTTAGTTTTTAATATAATTAAATCTTAATAAGCTTTAAAGTTCCTTTAAAGGGCAAACTTTTCCTGCTGGAGAAGCATTTAGCATGAGATATAGATTTTATATGTAGTATAGAGAAGAAATACTTAACAAATAGTGTCTTAACGATATTATCACTCAATTATCTTAGATTTTTTGATTCACTCACGTGGAGCAGCTGGAAGAAGTTGGGCTTGCCGGTGTAGAACATACTGTGGAATGGCCTGCCCGTCTCATCGAATTCCGCTGCCTTACGGGCGGGAAAGACAACCTCGGGCGACTTCATGGCGGGGCGGGCCTTTTGGTCGTACAAGCCGGAAGGGAAAAGATAGGATATCGCCTCCTGCAGTTGGGTAGAGTTATGGGATTTAAGTGGTTAAGTTTTTCCATGACCAATTCACTCACGTCTATATCTTCTGGGTAAAGGTCTCCGCATCGGCGCCCATCATGTTGGCCAGGTGGCGCTTGCCGATCTGGAACTCCAGGTGCTGGGTCTTCATGAACTCGTCGTGCTCGTTGGCTCTCTTCAGGTACGACCGCATGGCCTTGCTGACCTTTTGCTTCTGGACAGCCGCGGGAGCAGCCTGGATGGTCACCTCTGTGGCAAATGGAGCCGCCGCCTGAAAGGTTATGCAAACGATTGGTCTCAGTTTCGAAGCAGTGAATCTAGTGAAGTTAAGGCTTAAGGCATTACTAGGGTACCAACCATGTAGCCTGTGGCCGGGGCAGTGGATTTGCATGCATTCTGCAGCAGATTCCTGTTAGTTTTCACTATTTTTAAGCCTAAAACACGCAGTGCCATCCTTTTTTGTTAACGGCGGAAAGAAGAAGACTAAAACAGCTGTTCCATTGTATGTGTTGGAAAGTGCTAAATTTCAGCTGATGTGTGGCGCGCATTTCACACACTATTCCATTATTTAAATTAAATATTTTATTTTGCTTGTATCCATATTTAACAACGTTTTTGTTTAGCAAATTTGTTTTTTTTTTGATTTTTAAGGAATTTTGAACCAAAACTCTTTAATAGACTATTTGACAAAAATAATATTTATTCTATTATTTTAAGTCACATTGTAGTTTGGCATGGCACTTTCCATCGGCATTGTCATAGATGAAAAAATTCATGTTAATGAAAAAAAATCGGGTTTAACAGTCTTTATAGAACACTCTTTATTGAATAAAATAATACCAAAAACCCAGTTAATCTGATGAAAAAAATGTTTATTTACTTTACCATTGTCCTCCTTTACAAATGCTTTTATTAACTACATTTTTTTAAACACACTGTCAATGCTGATATTTTTCATATATGGAAATTTAAACGAACACAAATGTAAGGAACTGAGAAATGCAATGAAAACCTTTCAACAGCTAATTATAATTATTTGATGTTTAACGCTATATAATTATTTATAAATAATTGCCTAGGCATAGCGTTGATAAGAAGTTTTTATCGCATTATGGGATGTAATGCAGCTACCAGAATTATGTTATGTATATCAATATTCTCATCGCCAGTTCGCTTCTATTTCAATATTTCATCCTCCCTTGTTGTATTTGGTCGCAGTAAAATGTTATTTTGTATATAAAGCAATTATTTAATAATAATGCCAAGCCTATTTCCACGCCTGCTTGAGCAATTTACGAGACGCTAAATGCTTAACAATCAACGAGCCCGATGTGAGCGCGACTAGCACTATGGAAATGAGAATATAGTCAAAGTCCTCCTTCAACAAATCGAACGTCTTTGATGGCGCCACGCGGGTAACGAACAAATCTGTAAAAAAAAACATAAAATTGTGGGTTTAAATTCGAGTTTTTGAGGAAACAGAGCCTTGCTATCTACATTACTTCATTGATAGTAGCTTACCTAAACCCGTAGCAACGACTAGACAGGTACTCTCCAGACCACTGGGTGCGGTATAAATATTGCGCAGACGGGCGACCGTCTGGTTGTAATTTATATGGCTTTCCGTTGGCAAAGGCAACTCGGGTATATAGGGAATGGCTCCCTCCTCACGTCCCTGAGTCGTGGATGCAATAGGACGACGGGGATCCAGCAAATGCCATGGCATTTCGATAATGGAACCACTGGCAGTGCCGACTAAAAAATTGGAAAAATATCATAATCTCATTTTTTAATATTACTTTAATAAACACTTACTCAGCACATGCTTGTTAGTAATTCCGCGCTCTGTGATTGTCTCCCTCAGAGCCTCAACAATGGTGGGGAGTATATAAGACTGACGCTCCACAAGAGGCATTGGTGGAGCCTGCAAGGAACTCCAAACACTGTTGTTTGCCTGAGACTTACCCTCGTACAGTTCAATGGTGGCTGTAAAGGGGAGGAATTGGCTCAATTTATATCCACAAAATACAATTATCGCCCCGTTTAACTTACTAATCTCTGTGCGTCGCACTTTCTCATTGAAGTAGGAGTAGGCAAGCCAGTTTTCTGAGTGAACAATGCTCAATGGAGCACGCACCTTACGATGCGTCATGGTGAAAACCACCGAGCCGGAGACCACATCAACCAGATACAAATTAAGCACAGCTGTGGAACGGGTGATATGTTAATAAATTTTAATATGGGCGAAGCGAATGCAGACTCACATTTGTGTGTGGCATCCGGCGCCTGTGTAACAAAGGCCACTAAATTGGGGTTGATGTACTTGTACAGCACCGATCGATCGCCCAACACACGTCCCTGGGAGTGGACATGCTCGATGGGGTTCTTGCCGGCAACACCGGTTATCTGCTGCTCGGAGTTGTGGCCGCCAAGGCGGGCGTTCCAAATGTGCGTGCTCGACAGTTGCTGGCGGAAATTCTTTAATTATTTAATGGCCGACAGGTTTAAATGTTTGTAACACTTACCCCGCCTGCATATTTTACAAAGTAGCCGGACAGTTCTGATGTTTCACATCGGCTGTGTACAGATACATGCCATCAGCCTATATAGGTCAGAAAAGATTTTAAAACTCCATTAACTAATCATAGAATTTCGAGTCTTACCAATGGGCTAGCATGTTGAGGATACACATGGACCTTGTTAGAAGCATCCAATAACAGAATTCCCTTCACAAAGTCCTTTTCCGTTTCTGCCAGCAAGGAGAGCTGCTTGATCTTGTAGTCCAGCTGAATAAGACCCCTTCCGCGGCTTTTCCGGTGATGGGATTAAAGCGATAGAGCACACCATTGCCACTTACCTATGGAAATAAGAAAAGTTAGCGAAATAATTATGCGAACTATAAGCCTGACTTACGGCATCCTTGCCCAAAATAGTGCACAGAGGTTGTAGCGGGAAATGTTTGGCCGAGCGCTGAACAATCAGACGCATCTGCTCGTCATTAGCAAAACCGTTGACCTTCGGCAGATACAACTGCCAGTGGTGCTTTCCTGAGATGTTGTCAATGCCGAAGACCTTTCCAGCACGGGTTAGTATAACCAGCATCTTGTGGAGGCCAAAGGAATCGCGGACCAGGCCAGCTCGCTGGGTGTCCGTAGGCGGAGGACCCAGACCGATTACGTGGAGGAACAAGCTCCTAATCTGAACAGCTTGAGTGGTAATGCGGCGCAAAAAGGCGCTGGCAATGTCTCCTGTTTAAATGTAAAAGACATAAGTAATATTAAAAAAGTATATGAAATATAATTAAATAAATAATAAAACGAAATCGCAGCTTTAAAAAAATAAACAACAATAATAAACTACAATTTACTAAGACATTGGGTTTCCTGCCTTTTTTTCTGCCAACTCTACAAGCTAATTATATTCGTATTTATACAATTGGTCTACACAAAATAATGCAGCTGTTATTTGAAATGCATTGGCATTAAGCTAATAAGACATGCACAGTGTATTAGCAAAATAATAAACGCAATATAAAATATATTTTTAAAAATAAAATGGCAGCCTTAAATTTTTGTGGACATTCACTTACTCTCGAAACTTGTGAAATCCCCTATGGTATGCATTTTCAAGAATAAACATTTTAGATTTTTGCTTAAAGTTATGGTTATACAGTAATCTACACTCACCGGCTTTGCCCTTCATCTCGCTCTCCAAAGTGCCTTCCGTATCGGCTAGCGGCAGGTCGACAAACTGCGAGTCGATCACATTGGCTAGGGCCTCCTCGCGCGACCAACGGATGCGTCCCTGCTGCACGGCCACAATGGACTCGGAACTGGTGCTGAACAGGAACAGACAACTCTTGCCCTCGCCATTCCGCTTCTGCTTACAGTCGAAGTTGTTCAGCGATGGAGTGCCAAAGTGCTCGGGGAAGGGCAGACTCTGCTCCAACTCAACCACAGGTGCGCAGTTATCCAGATACACGGCCTTTATCTTGAGAATCTGTAAGTAATAAATTAAATGCAACAGTTAACTGTCATTTTATAAATATTTATATGTCAAAACTTACGCCAGAAGTCAGATCTGCATAAGCCAGTAACTTGCGATAGTTAAGCTTCCCAAGGCGTAACTGGTGCTTTGCAGACCACTGCAGACAGATTGGTCCTTGTTGACACTTATAAGTTTGCCATCCACTATCACAACACCATTAAGACCCTGTAGAATTTAGTATTTTAATAAAATGGTTATTGATATATGAAGTGAATGCAACATCAACATACATACAAACAAATAAATATCATTGCTTGGACATTTATATAATCTATTTATAAGATTATTTTTCCTAATTATCTTAAAATAGTAATGTTATGTTATGTTTGTTTATGATTCATGACTTCATGGTTCAGAAAACAAACTAGTTTAATAATTCTCTAGTGCAATTTAACCCTGATGCCTAACAACCTTTGCCACCTATTGTTTTTCTTACCGCCAAAGCCTGAAGCTTTCCCTTGGACTCCGCTCGAGCGAAGTCCGGATCACCTGACCGCTTTTGGAAACCAGATCCAGGCTGATCAACTGCTTGCCGTCTGTACAGATGTAGAAGGTACCGCTGAGGGAGCAGCTCTCTGGGGTGATCCAGGAGGCCATCACCTTGCTGGTGCTGCCAGTGGTGTGACCCGAGCTGGCGAAATAGGCGGTGACCTCGAGGTGGCTCCGCCAGGCGGGCAGAACGTGGTAGAGCACGGACTTGCTGTAGAACCACAGCGCCTCCTGGGCCCGCTCCGTGTTCAGCGGCATGATGGACCACTCCCACTCGAGGGCGCCGATGTTGGTGTTCCAGCCGCGCACCAAAGCGGGCGCGTGTCCCTGGACGGTGAGCATGTCGAAGCCCAGGTTGCTGCCCATGGGAGCGGCGGCCGTGTCGCTGCTGTCATCGGAGAAGCCGCTCACCTGGAGCAGCTTGATGTCGCCGCGCGGATTCTGTTCGAGCACCTGCCGCCACACCAGTTCGCCGGTCTTCACGCACAAGCTGGCCACCACCCCTTCATGGGTGCTGACGAGAATCCGAGGCTGGAAATGGTTCAGGTCCACGCGCGACTGCTTCAGGGCGCCCACATTCACGCCTCGCCTACAAACGCGAAATATATCCGCCGGATTAACGCCGGGTCAATGGTCACATATCGGGCACTCACCAGTCGAACTTCTTGATCTGGTCTTCGTACAGCGCCGAGCAGGTGCCCAATAGGAGCGCCACCGAAAGGCCGGCCAGTAACCACTTCTCCTGCATGTCGTCCGCCTTGCTTTCTGCCCTTCGACTCTCTCGAGCTATAATTGTTCAACTTCCGATGTCTTTTTATGTTATAAATTAATAGAAATCCACATTAATTCGAGTTTTCCGTCATAGCATCTGGCCCATCTCTAGTTCGGAATCGGTTCGCTCCGTTCAGCTCGGAGTCGTTCGCTTTTTCGGTCTTTCCGTTTTGGTATTTAAGTGATTTTGTGACGTAAGTGGCAAACGTAAGTCGTGTCGGCAAAACGTAAGCCAACGTAAGTGTCAGTAAAAAAGGGAGATGCAAGATGGAGAATGGGGAATGGACGAAAGGGAAAGGGATGAGAAGACGAAAGGGAAAGGGATGAGAAGACGAAAGTGGAGCAGGGTTGGCTATGCCGCGATATCGATATTTCATCGAAGTAGCATCTGTAATTTCGTGTTCGCACTGACGCTTAACACCCTGGCTCAGAGTACTTTGTATTATTCTTTTAAGAGGCTTGTTGCAATTATAAATACAAGTTTTAGTACTTACAAAATTTTTTTGGATATTATGTAACGACCTAAAGAGTTCGTGTTGATTTATCGACAGCTGTAACTAATTATTTTAATTTTGAGCTGATTACACTCATGGACAATTATATTTTTTTGACTTTTTATTTCTAATTCTTATCATCTCTAATCTCAACAAAACAAACTTTTTCAAACTTATATTAATTGTCTTTAAACAAAAAGTAACAAAGGTTTCACAAACCCTTTCATAAACAACTAAATTAATATTTCCTTAAATCCTCAAATTTTGGCTGGACACAATAATAGGTGTACAAAGATAAATGTTTAAATTAAATCAATATTTCACTATGTTTGGTCTTTTTTTATATTAAACTAAGTATCTGGCAGCTAATAGCCGGTATATCCACCATTATTTTGCAGGACTTTCTCCATTCGTCTTGGCATGGAGGATATAGCTTGCGACATGTTCCAATTGGAATATTGTACCATGCTCTTTGGACAATATCCCAAAGTTGGCATTTATTTTGACATAAAGTCTTTCGCACCTCTCTTTTGAGTTCACCCAGAGATTCTCGATGGGATTGAGGTCTGGGGATTGACTTGGCCATTCAAGAACATCCACATTTTGCTCTCGAAACCAATCCTTTACTACTCGAGAGGCGTGCTTATCCTGCTGGAACTTCCATAAAAGTGGCATATCATCCTCGGCATATGGTAGCATCACCGTCTCCAATATATCTTTGTAAACAAATCTGTCCATTATTCCGTCAATGCGATGAAACGGACCAACACCATACCATGAAAAGCAGCCCCATACCATTAGGCTACCACCTCCATGTTTCACAGTCTTATACGTGTATTTAGGATCAAATTCTTTGCCTTTCGGACGACGAACATTCCTTTTGGCATCATTTCCAAAAAAATGTATTTTGGTTTCAACACTCCAGAGGATATTACGCCCTTTTTTCTCACCCTCTGGTCCGCACCAGGTTCTACGATCTAATGAACATTTTTTCCTCATCTGTAAATTTGCCGACCGAAGCAGGAACCCTGCGAACAATCCTACCTGGTAGGTTTGCTATTGCCGTCCGTGATGACACAATATTCCCAATTTCATTGGCAATCGTCCTGGAAGACTTGAACGGGTCGCGTTTAACCAATTGAACAATGCGATCGTCGGTCTTAGATGATGATTTTCTAGGTGCTCCCCGATTTTCACCTATTTTTTCCGGTTTTAAGGCATTGGTTACGAAGTTTTGAGAACGTTTCATTAGGATGGCAATGGATTTATACGTTTTTCCTTCATCTCGGAGTCGTTGAATGAGCCTTCTCTCCTCCGCACTGCAGTGACGCCCACGGCCCATCTAATACAATTTTAATGGTCAGTTAAGTCCTTATTTAGGTATATTTTCCTAATACCTTACCTTGTGCAACCAAATAATTGTACTAATAAGTAACAGGTTAATGATTTGGTTAATACACCTATTTCATTGACCAGCCGAGATTGCAGTCTCAGCAATAAAACATTCCACAATTTTCCCAGAAGATTATTAATTCCGGGAATTCACCAAAAACGTACCGAAACAGTGTGACCATATTAAAAAGTATCGCTTCCATATTAAATGTTATGTTTATATTGATTTGAATCGATATTAAAAAAAAAAATCTTCACACCTATTATATTGTCCATGAGTGTACCAATATAAGACGAAGCAGCTGATGCTGTTGCGACCTCAATGTGAACACAGTCAAAATTACATAGTGTTGCCATACATCGATTAACTGTGACTTTCATCACTAGCGGTGTGAGGACTGCCATCTCTCAAATAATCAAAAAATAATCTCAAATAAAACAAAGTGGGGCTTTAGTTTTTCTGGAAAAATCCCTAATAAAACTTTTCCAAATGTTTGAGAAGAAGAGCGACAAGGTAAAGCAGGCTGAGCACAAGCCGCGGGAAGATGGCGTGGAACTGGAGAGCCAGTTCATCATGCGGGTGCCAAAGGTAAGATATGGCACTTTACTTGCACCACTCAATATAACTCGACCCACTATTTATCCCCAGGAACTGGCCGACACTGTCCATGAGGCAATAAATTCGGGCACCGTGAAGGATCGGCTGACCATCCAACTGGATCAGGACCTCAGGTACGGCGAAGTACGCCTGGATGACCAACTACTCTACACCAAACTGGTGGACCTGCCCACTGTCGTCGAGAGCTACAAGACCATCGACAACAAGAGTTTCTACAAGTCGGCAGACATCTGCCAGATACTCATCTGCAAGGAGGAGCCGGAGGACGAGACGGAGAAGGAGTCGCCCAACAAGAACAAGAAGAAGGATCCCAACAAGGTGGACAAGAAGTATCTGTTTCCACATGGCATCACACCGCCCTGCAAGAACGTGAGGAAACGCAGATTCCGCAAGACTCTTAAGAAGAAGAATGTCGAAGCCCCTGAAATCGAGAAGGAAGTGAAGCACTTGCTGCGCATCGATAATGAAGCAGTGAGGGTCGACTACGAAATTATCAACGAGGAGGATAAGCCCATGGATGACCTGGATCAATCGGACATCAAGCCCTACAACGATGCGGATGATGAGATGCAGGATGAAACCACCATGCACGCCAGCGACAAGACAGCCATGGAAATAAGCTCTCAGCGGGACATCAATGTGGAGTCCGATGATGACGAAGCCAGCAACTTTCCCTCCCACCGTGCACCCAACATGGGCGTGGCTGCCCACGACATCTTTGGAGAGGAGGTGTCCACCACCGATGACGAAGATGAGCCAGAACGCGGCAACAACACCATGCAGCGGCGTGAAATGGAGGAATCCTCCCGCCTCTCGGCGGATGATTCACGCATGTCGGACTTCTTTGGTGCTGGTGGCAGTAATGCCGGAGCCAGCGGCCTGAAAATGGACCACAACGAGTTCAGCAAGTCCATGTTTGGCCATGAAGCAAGCAGTCCCAAGCTAAGCGCCGCCGGTTCTAGTTCCAACCTGGCTGCTCCCAGTGGCTTCTATGACAATCAGATGCTGACCAAGCGAGAGGAGTTTGAGAACATGGAGTTCATGGACGAGCCACAGCCGCAGTACTCACAGCAACAGGTGCACCAGAAGATCAGTCAACTGACGCGGCAGATCAGCGAGCTAAAGGCGCAGCAGGTGCAGAAGTCCACAGAAATCGCCTCCATCCAGAATGCCACGCTGAAGCAACGAATGCAAGAAACTCTTGACAATCTCTACGCGCAGATCATTGAAAGAGAAATGGAGCGCAAGGACTTTGAGAATATGCTGGAGTCTTGAGGGGAATGTAGAATTTAATTCGTAGACTGTATGTTCGTAGGCTATATTAAAATAAAATTTAAAGCTAATTAATCATACAACTCAGTAGGCTAAATGTTAATCTAAAACTGGGCAACGACATATGTTATGCCAAGAAATTCAGCTCACTCATTGGTACATTTTCTTCATAACTGATAAGCTATAGGTAGCACAACACAATAATTAGCTACAAAGTTATTAAATAGTGACTTATCAATTAATAATCTTTATTCTGCAGAATCATATCATACTCTTGAAATCCATGACCTGTATATGAAATTACTGCGTTGACCATTGGCATCGGCTGATTGAACAAGCAGATACCTTGGCCTGGACTAGACGGTATCGAATAAGTAACTCCATATCTTCAATGCCACATCTTTAAATTTCATGTGTAAAATAAAGACAAATGTTGAACCCTGGTACGATCATAGTCTAAATGTCTTTATTATTGGCATTCGCAATCAACAAATTTTAAAGATATTCAAGATGGGCAACATAGAAAGTTATATTTTGTACTATGAGTGTGGAGTTCCAGAGACAAAACCAGACTTTAATCAGTGTCTTTAAGTTTGAGGAAGCACGTGGGCTTTTTACTTAAAATCTAAGAAGGTAGAGTGTGTAAATAGGAATGGGTGGGCTGTAACGCTAGATAAACTAAATGCAATATTTGTGACAGCAATTCTGGGCCCTCTATGGCTTTTGATACTGCATACGTTATTTTTTCGTTTTGTGGTGGGCAAAAAAGTGCAAAACTGGTTTCCAGAAGTCTTCCGACTGTAGTAATCAGGCTCCAATCGGGATCACCAGCTCAGCTCATCTGGCAGTCCACCGGGATATTCACCAGTGAGACAGGCGGTACAGTGACCCGTGGGCTTGGACTTGCCATCTCCTGCATCCCGGTGCTTCAGCTGGACGGCCTGTACCAGCCCCTCCACACTAAGATAAGCCAGACTGTCGGCGCCCACATGCCGGGCTAATTGTTCGGCGTTCAGCTTGTTGGCAATCAGTTCCTCTCGAGTTGGAATGTTGATTCCCATGTAGCAAGGGTACTGCAGCGGAGGGCTGGCAATGCGAATGTGCACCTCCCGAGCGCCTGCATCTCTCAGCAGCTTGATGATGGGTCCAATGGTGTTGCCGCGCACGATAGAATCGTCTATCAGGACCAATCTCTTGCCAGCCACGTTCTCGGACAGGGCTCCGAACTTTTTGGCCACTCCTAACTGCCGCAACCGGGTCGAGGGTTGGATAAAAGTGCGTCCCACGTAGCGATTCCTGCAGAGAACCTCTGCAAACTCTATGCCAGATTCGCGGGCATAGCCATGGGCCGCCGCTGTTCCAGACTCGGGAACAGAGCTCACGATATCCGCCTCCACGGGAGCCTCTCGCCACAGCTGCCGGCCGCACTGCAGCCTCACTGTGTAGACCATCTGGCCCTCAAAGATGCTATCTCCGCGGGCGAAGTAAACATACTCAAATATACAAAAGGCCATGCGCTTGAAGTCGGGTCTTTCCACGATATCCACCGTGCGATAGCCACTTCGCGAGAGCTCCACAATCTCTCCGGGTTCCACTTCCCGCACGTATCTGGCTCCGATCGATAGGAATCCGCAGCTCTCACTGGAAACCACCCAGCCGTCAGCTGGGGTGTCCGAACTATTGCCGTGTCCGGCATTGATGGGCACGATCTTGCCAATGCACAGCGGCCTATTACCATAGGTGTCCCTCACGGCGTAGATCTTGTCCTTCAACATGATGACCAGCGAATAGGAAAGCGGCGCCAGCATCATGAAGTGCCTAATCCTGGCTGGCCAGTTAGGTCCGTCCAGTTCGGAAACATCCTCCGGGGCGCAGCACAGCGACTGGGCGATCAATTCACTGTCGCTGTGTGTGGACAAGCCGACGCCCCTGGCCAAAACCTCCCGTCTCAGAGACTCGTTATTGACCAGCTCGCCGTTGTGGGCCAGGGCCAATGCTCCGTGGGCCGTGTGCACCACAAAGGGTTGGCAGTTGACCACTCCGGAGCCGCCGGCGGTGGAGTAGCGCGTGTGCCCGATGCCCAGGTTGCCGCGCAGCTTCTTCATGGAGTCATCATTGAAAAGCGTGCTGATCATGCCCATGCCCTTGTGCACGTTGAACTCCTTGGAGCAATTGCCCTCGCTGGTGGCTATGCCCGCCGATTCCTGTCCGCGATGCTGCAGTGCAACCAGTCCCAGGCAGATCACGTGTGCAATGTCCATCTGGGCGGGCCAATCCCCGCAAGCGATCGCCCCGAACACACCGCACTCGTGCGTCAAACCGGTTAGCTCCTTGCTGGCCGAGATGGAATGGGACTGCGATTCCACCGTGGAGGTCACCCCCTCAGCTGGTCCCACCTGTTGCTGTTCGACCACGCGCACATGTTGCTGTTGTTGTTGCGACTGCTGCTGCTGTGACGCCGACATGTTGCTGCTGGGAAATGTGTGCAATATGGTAATTGAAGGCGACTAATTGCAGTTTGTGGCGCAGCTGGCGTCGATCTGATTTACCTGATGGTTTACGCAACGACTTTATACAAGAGAAATCCTCGCACGCTCGCACGCGCAGCTTAGTTTTTCGGAAATCGGGCGAGATCAAGCCTAATATCGGTCGGTTAGCTGCTATCGATAGTTGGTGCCCCTGGATCGATAACGATCATTTCTTTATTTTCAAATTAGAATTTAAAAAAAAAGCTTTTAATTAAAATAAAAAAAAAACAATTTTTATATATTTAACAAAAACATTTTCAAAAAGATTTTTGTTTCGCTACTTTATTAAACTGACACATAAGTCTAAAAATGCAATTTCTTCTTTTTCATACGAGTTTCATCATATATAATCTGTTTAAAATAATGAAAATAATATTTTTTATTCTCCTTAAAATTTGTATAACAATTTAAAAGTAAATAAAATTTGATTTCTTATGTAAAGAAACACAATTGAAGATGTATATTTAAATACAAATATTTAATGTAATGTATCTGCAATCTACAAGTTTTGTAATTCAAGACATCGTGCTGGCAACACCTGATATTTCGTAGTAGTAATGTTCAATGCATCAGAAAATGGTGAATCATAGCCTCTGCCAGAATAAATGCACAGCACGAGCATTTAAACAAAATGTTAAGTATATAATTTTGATAAGTAAATGCCATTGGTTTAATTGTTTGGTGTCATGGTGAGGGAATCGGAATTCAATGAAAACAGCCAACTTAAGTACTTGAATCGTTATTCGAAATCCGCTTTGTACATCGTGCAAACTGAGTGATAAGATTACTTGTGGAATAACTATTTCCAGGGGCAGAGCTTCTCTATAAACCCCATTCAGCTGGGCCTCCTTGTCCAGGAGAATGTGCGGAGTCGCTATTTCGAGGGACTAAGCTTCTCGGTGAAGAACGGTGCGTTCTGCAACTTGGCCTTGTCCTCTTCGTCCAGGAATTGCTTGGCCTGCTCAATGTCCGCCTGAATGGCGGCTATCAGCGACTCCAGGGAGTCGAAACTGCGCTCCGGCCGCAGGTATCCCACAATGCAGATCTTAAGTATCTGGCCGTATAGGTCGCGTTGAAGTCGTGCAGCATGTGCGTCTCCACGCTCTTCTCCTTGTTGTTGTAGAAGGGATTCCAGCCCACGCTGAGGACCATTTTGTGGACGGGTCCATTGTCCACGTTCGCCCAGCCGTAGTACGCGCCCGTGGGCAGTGATTCCGGCAGCGATTTCACCACATCAAGCGGAAAGTTAGCTAACAAGTGGTTTGGTTATCAATTAGAAATGACCTTCGGGGCTCACTTGACGTCGCCACCAACCTGTTGGGATGCCCAGCTCTTTGGAGCCGCGTCCGAATCCACGGACGATCTCGCCGCCAGCGAATAGAGGTAGTTGGCTCAGCATTTCCCGGACTTCCTTGGACTCTGACCCAGATGTGCTGCGGTGGCGCTCCAAGTGATTCCCACAGGCCGACGGGCGCTTGATTGACGGTATTAGCTGCGACCACAAAGCGTTGCGGGCCAATTTATCGAGTCTGGCGAGGAATCAAGCGGGGTCTACAGAGTGTGTATATTGCGTTTGCCGTCTAGCCACTCACATAACTACTGCTCTTTCCATTGTAAACACACAGACAAATGTTCCGCATTCAGAAAGTTTATCAGCTGTTTGCACGGGCGCTGCCAACTTATGTCAGTTTTGGTTTGCAGGGGCGTGGGGAAATGTATTTGTTAGGGGCTTCTGTTTTTTCTTATAAGAAAATAATTTAAAAATTGCTCATACAGAACATTATGTTTGAATTAATGAATTGTTGAGTTGATTGCTTCCATTAATTAATTACCGTTTCACGTGTTGTTTATTACGGTGCACATAATGTTTATGCATTTCCGTTTAAAACTGAGTTTTTAAATTTAAATGTAAAATTTACTTTTTAACGGAAATTGTAATGCTCATATATATCGGCTTAAATGAAAGGTGTTTGTAAATTGAAGCATATATTTTAAAGCTATATTTTTCTTTATCATGAATGTACAAAAAATTATCAAAATAATTTTAAAAAATGTAAGTGTTGACTATTGAGGGAAGGTAACAACAAATTTTTTTTTTAAATATGTAGTTGTACTTTCTATTTGGAATGTAAATATTTTTTTAAATGGGTATACTTTTTTTGTTTAAATGTTTTTTTAAGTCCTAATTTAAGATAACTTTAATTAATATCTTTGCCATGCAATAACCAAAACATCAAAATAATTTTAAAACAAGAAAAGTGTTGACATATTAAAATAGTATAAATGTGTACAATGAACATATTTTTTTAAATGGATCAATTTTTTTATGCTCACTTTTTTTTTAAAGTTTTATTTTAAGACATTCTGAATTTTCATATCTAAGTTTGAATCTCCCCTCGGTGCACTGGGAGCACTTTTGTGGTGCGCAGTTGTCAAAAATCACTCGACGCAGTCGTTCATAAAAATGTACAGTTCGCTTCTATGAATTACCAACGGTGATCCACTGAAATAACTGTTAAGCCCACGTTAGCTCTGCGAAATTACTACTCAATTAATGCAAAACGACATAGAAAGTCGGCTTTTAATTGACGAAAAACTGTAATCGGAGTAATTACAAAAATATAGTGGTTTTGGTTGCAGATTAAAGATGATGAAGATCTCGAAGAACGTGTGCAGGGCTTGTATGGGCGAGACCGACACCCTAGTGGATCTCTTCGCCGACATCCGGGATCCAACAATGGACGAGCCGGAGATGAAGCTGTCCCACATGCTGGCCCAGTGCATCAATCGTCCAGTGGAACGCGGCGACCTCCTGCCGCAGTACATATGCCTCTCCTGCGTCATGGCCGCCCAGAACGCCTTCCGGTTCAAGTGGAAGTGCGAGCGGAGCTACCAGAACTTATGCGGCCTCCTGAACAAGCAGGGTCGTCTGGATCAGGATCCAAATCAAGAAACACAGCTCCAAGAGAATGTTGCTATGGATAGTGATCAGAAAGAGACACCACAAACGAAGATCCAAGAGATCCGGGAAAGTGTCCAAGAGGAATCTTCTTCCATTCCAAATCATTACAGGAAGCCTACTTCCAGAGAAGGGCATCAAAATAATACCCCTAATGAAGATTTTGGGTAAGAATATCACAAATTGATTGATAAAAACATGTAAATTAAAAAAGAATACAGAATACTATACCTTTGAAATTAATCTTTTCCTCAAATAACTTCAAAATATTTTCCGACTTAGTCACAAACTAGATCCTGCGAACGGAACTCAGAAAACCGGAGGTGACCCCAAACTAATGCAGCCTGTTAATACAAGACGGTAGCTAACTTAATAATACCATATCACAGCATTTAAGGTTAATCACATTTCCACTATCTAGGAGGGCCAATAAGCTCCAAAGACAAGTCCGTTGCGATGCCAATGGCAACTACAAGTGCCCGCACTGCCCGAAGAGGTTTTATTCCCAGACCCAGTTAAGGAGCCACATCAGTGAACTCTGCCACACATGCCCGTACTGCCCACGCGCCTACTCAAATAGGCGCAGCTTGAGGCGACATCTTCTGAGCCACGTCAGCAAGCCAACGCACAAGTGTCCGAACTGCTCCAAGGCCTTCATGCGAAAAGATCACCTTAAGAAGCACCTTCACACGCACGACTTTGAGGGCCCGCTCTCCTGCAGCGAGTGCTCGGCCGTATTTATCGAAGACATCCATCTGGAAATCCATCAGAGGGAACACCTACCGAAGGAGTTGTCCCTAGAATCCGATTCTGACGTCAAAAAGAATAGGTTTGGCAATAGTAGCACAGATCTGAAATCAAAAAATGGACGGACCAAGTAAGTTTGTTGTGGCAGATTCCATAGGATTGTGTTTACAATAATTTTTCCCCAACAGGAAACCAACATGCCATATCTGCATTAAAACATTTTGTAGTAATTCCAGCCTCAAACGACATATGGTTATCCATGATCGTGTGACACATATTCGATGAACTCTTAAAGATTTAAATTACCATTAAAATTTATTGGAATAAACGAATTAATCTTTTCGAACTTCATTTATAAAATATCCTGACTTGGTTTCTCATATCCTAGTAGACGGTTTAATTTGGCAGTTTACAAGAACCAAAAGACCTTTTCAATATTTTGTTTGACCATCTTATTTGGTTGCACAAATGCAATGCACAGGGTTTTAACAAATATATATATAAAATATATAATATTCGTAACGAACAAAGGAACACATAGTTATCTTATCTCATTAAATGTCGATTATAAAAATTGTTAAATGAAATGCTCTGTGCTACGGATATAAAATGAAAGAAAAAGGGCCACACTTTAAAGGAAAACAAAACAATGCAACTTCTTAAAGTAACATAAAAGAGATTAATTCTATAATTTCACATTTCCGACTTATTGTCCAATAAAAACAGCTTCTTGAGATCCGCGAGATTGAGGCACCCGAAATCCCGCTCGGACATATCTTCCTCTATCTCTGGCAGCTCCATTTTGGCTAACTTGTTCTCCTGCAGCTCTACAATTTGCTGCTCTACGGTGTCCTGGCACATGTATCGGTATATGAAGGTAGGTTTCTGTTGACCATATCGATGGATACGACCCTGAGCCTGCTGCTCCAGCTGTGGGTTCCAATGGAGATCCACAAATAGCATATGGTTGGCCACATTGAGATTCAGTCCCAATCCGCCAGCGCTAAGGGAGAGTAGAAGAATCCGCTTGTCATGACTGGCGTTAAAATCCTGCAATACCAGTTCACGACATTTGGTGCTCAGCAGGCCAGTAAAGTAAAGTGGGTTCCATGACTTATTCTGCAGACACTTACGAATGATGGCCAGATAGTGGTTCCAATGAGATATAATTATGATCTTGTCGTTGGTACCTGTAAGTATTTCCTCCACTTTTTCGATGACTAGCTTTAGTTTGGCAGACGACCGTTCGATTTGAATATGGAATTTTGTGGATTAAGCTGTTTAAGAGCCTGGGCAGAGTCTAAAGGATTACCAGAAGTACTACATGCCGGTTGCTTATCAACCATATTCTGTATTTCAAATTTCAGGTGTCCAATCTCATCTTTTATGTTATCTAAAAAGACGTTCTCGTTTATTTCGACACTGCCCTTTTCGATGATGGTATCTTCTTTGTCAGTGAGTTCATCGAATTTGGGCAACTTCTGGTCGAATTCTATCTTAAGCTGACTCTCTACATTTGAGGCCGCCGTCCCGAAGCTTTGCACATCCTCGGCGGTCTTTAAACCACTCAGCATCTGGTAAGACATGAGAATTTAATTAAATACTTCGTGTTCAGCTGTTCTGCCTACTTACCCCAAGCAATAATCCCGGGTGGCAGCAAAACTGTCGCAGGCGCAACAGCAGAACCAGGATCACAAGACCCTTGATCTTAACTGCCGGATCATAGTTAAATAATTTCAGAAATCCGAGGTATATCTTCGAGTACTTGGCGTCAAATATTTCATTTATGAACTGGGGAGTTCTGTCTTCAGAATAGTTCTCGAATTGTTTCAAGAACTCGGTAAAGATCCTTTTGCAAATGGCGGAAAGGATCTGGTAGACCGCCATTTCTGGCTCCGAGAGCTGCACGCAGATAAGTTCAACTTTTAGAGGGGGTAAGGCGGGCATGTCTCCTATTTCCTGCAGGTGTTGCTTTGTCCTGCGTAGTATTAGTGGTGTAATAATCGAATTCAACCGTCTCTTGGCAAGCACGTCCTGGCTTAAATACCTCTTCCATTGCTGAAGGTGCTGAAAGTGTGGTACTTGCAAAAAGCGCAACAACGCGAGCATATCAATGGCCCGATTCTGGACAAGAGTTCCACTTAAAGCCCATCGGCTTCGAGCTCGCAGGTGGCAGACGGAAATTCCGGCCCTGCTTTTTTCATTCCGAATGATGTGGGCCTCGTCGAGGATCACCCGGTTCCAGTGAACGGCGAAAAGCGGTGAGCTCTTTCCAAACCTTTTCAACTCGCTCAACAAGAGATTGTACGAGGTAATGATTAAATCGAAGCTCCTGACCACCTCCAACCTGATCGCATGGCGGTTGTTTTCGTGTAATACCAGCACCTTTATGGCACCCGGCGCCACCTTGGAGGCCACTTCCTGAGCCCATTGGGGCATCACGCTCTTGGGGCAAACCACTAATGTGCCTGCCGAATGATAGTCATCGGTTGTAGAGTGCCCCTGCAATACCGTTGAGCTGCACACCACAGCTTGAGAATTTAGACATACACGCTTCACTGGCGGCTCTTTCTCTTTTTCCCTAGCTAAATCCATCCGCTTGTCGGCTAGCATCAGGGCTATCATTACTAGAGTCTTTCCCAGTCCCATGTCGTCGGCGAGAATTCCGCCACAGATATTCTGGTGCTCACGGAACTGCGCCCATTTCACAGCAGAATGTTGATGCTTCATCAAATCGACCATAAAGATGGCAGGCCGCTTTACCAAGCTGACGGCCGATGGACTGGACTTCATGGAATTATGGAGGGTCTAAAGAATATGTTATATATTAAACATATGGGAAACGATTTACCAAATTTTAATTTAATTTATATAATGAAATATATAATGTCGTTCAACACCCTTCCTTTTTATGGTTGTGGGTGCAAACGCAGCTTTAATTTCAAAATCTAAATTTGTGAACGAAATATGTTAGGGCTCGTTAATATACAAAAGCCAGGGAAACACCGGAACAACACCTTTAAATAAGTGCTTTCAGTTTTTGAAATCCAAACTGTGGTTACATTTTCAGATATATAATAACAAAAAATTGATAATGTAAATATACTTATTTTAAGCTTTTAAAATTATATAGCTAATACAGTATACCTTACCTTTAGGCATTGTTGAAATGGCTGTACCGTGGAGTACTGGGGAACTGACACAGATGCTAGCGTGTAAGATTCATTGGGACTCTTCATCATCGGCGCATTCAGCGATCCTTGCAGTTCGGTGTTGGCACCGAATTGGACTCCCGCCTTCGAGGACTGAACGATTGCCCCCAGCGGAAACCTTCTAAAGGACTCATTTTTGAGATCAATGGGAGTCGTTGCCTGGAACAAGTTCACATCGTGTATCTCCTTCGCCGTATTCGATTTGTAGTATATCAGGGCGGGAACGGATCCCGTACCCTTTGGCGAAAGGTCGACCAACGAGTTATTGGATTGGAGCTGTGCCCCTATCAAAGGGACTCCCGTCTTTAACTGGTGTGTGTTTTTGTAAAGGTTGTTTTCGTCCGCTATCCCGTTTTCGACCAGGCTTTGAACGCGGTACAGAGACACTGAAATATTCTTATTGCTCAGGACTCCATTGTTGTGATGGTTATTGTACGGCTTGTGGTCGATCAAACCTCCGCCAGCTATTCGATTGATAGGAGAAATATAAGATATTTAATAAAATTATGGATAGAAATATCGGGTTAACTGATATTTGTTTAAATATATATATTTAACGATGTCCTTATGTGCATTTGTTATTCAATTTTACATTATTAACCCTAAACTAAAAACTGTAATTTCGAGGTGCTACCAAATTCAAACTTAATTTTTTTGGGCTTTCTGATGAAAGAGATTTTTGTAGCACCCCATATTCGAACAATTCTCTAACTATAAATCTATAATTGTCTTCTCAGCACAATAGAGTGACCCGATTCTTCAAAAACTTTAAAGATTTCTTACCGTAGCTTATGGAGTGGGGATTCAGCGACTGATCAGTTTGCTGCATCTTGACATGGTGGAAGTCAACGCCATTTAAAGAATTGCTAGGCGGAAGGCCAGGATGATTTGTCAGCACAAGCGGCTGATTGAAGCTCACCAAAGGCGGTAAAGGGTCCACAGATTGCGGCTGTCCTTGTGGGCACCACATAGGATACTGACGATACTGATGAAATAATTCCCAAAACTTTCGGATCATATCCGCGAAACTGTTAGCAGCCTCCTGGCCCACAGTTTGGCATAGTTTATTGTACCACATGTACAGCTCTTCCTTTGTTTTGAAAGCCATTTCATATATTTTTACATTTGGGGGCAGTAGCTCGTGGTACTGATGGCCAAATCTGAAGAAGTTTGACGAGGGTTGCCAAACATTCTCGAAAGAATTAGTTGGAAGCTGTTGTGTCAAAGGTGGTGCTTCTGGGCTGTGGCGCACATAAGTAGGTGGTGGTCCATTGGGCACATGGACGCACATTTGAGTGGCCATCTGTGAGGGAAACGGCGGTGGTCCTGGGATAGGTTCTTCTGGCGCCTGGACATCGTTGAGCAGCGTGTTCAACAATTGGGAATTCTCCGACGCCACCTGCGAAAGGTATGGCGGTGGTGCTGGGCTGGGTTCTGATGGCGCTTCCACATCGTTAAGCAGCGTCCTCAACAATTGGGAATCCTCAGACGCCAAATAAGACATTTCTAGGTTATTGCCACTCATTTCCAACGAAAACTGTAACTTATCGCTGTCGCCCATCATTTAAAAGCTTGACACAACTTGTCCCGCCTTGTGATGCAGCAACCTCTACCATGTGCATACCGATAAATCGATATATAGTTCGAGGAGACCCTGGCATCTCAAATCGAATTTCACACTAGTCACACTAGTTGTAAGCGCCTTTTTCGCAAGCAAAAGTGGCATGTCATTTTTAAAATAATTTTGAATCAAGAAAATCAACGAAACTCTCGTTCAAAAAGCACCGGCTCTTCATTATTAATAAAAGATATAAAAACAAATATGTTTCCATAATATGTACAATGTACATACTAAAGTTTTAACTTTCTGGTTTCAGACACAATTATATTCAGGTGTGTCCTAAAAACTCTGAAAACTATTGCGAGAATTGCTTTTTAAAACTTCAAACAACAAAACAACTTAATTTAGGTCAGATTTGACCAGCCCTTTTTTTGAAAATTGCATCAAAGCTTTTATAAAATGCATTTCATAATCCATCTAATTGCAAAGTGTGAAAGCAGAAGATGGTCGTGTGAACATTCTCAGCAATTCTTTTTACCCAAATTTTTTGCTGCCAGTTATAGAAAAATCTATCGGTCGGTTATAAAATTTGATCGTAAATCATCCTTCCTTCATCCTTCAAGAACACAAAATTGAACGTTGTCAAATTTCCACAAACCAATTCTAGATTTCCATGACATTTGGGTTCTCCTAAGTAAAATTAAATTGTAAGAATTGGGGAATTTCAACTTTGTCATCAAATTCCAAAGACATGCACTGAGAGTGTGTTTCAGCGAAAATGTTTAAGATAAAACCCATTTTATAGGACTCATACATAATTTAAAATGTCAGCAGACATACATACATAGGTTTTTTGTATTCTTATATTTTAAATTATAACATGCCAATGTCCATTAAATTCGATATCCTATTCCATATCCCACTACCGACGTTTTCCGGCATTGTTTTTCGATCGAGAAAAACACGTGCTTGCTTTTCGTAAAAAAAAGTTCAAAAGTTAGTTTAATTTAGTTATTTATTTATACATTACTTTGTATATATTATTATCAGGTGCATCGTGGAAGGGGCGGATATTACCTGGTACGCCGGTATCATTACCAACCACCCTACGCCCCGGCACCTGCTCCTGCCCCGGCCAGGCCCTACCGACACATGCCTCCTGCAGCGGTCGCCCCACTTCCCGTGGCAACACCAGCTCCAGCTCCCCCACACCAAACAGAGCCGGTGGCGAGATGCGGCGGGCGTTCGCGTTGGTCGCGGAAAAGGTAGCGGACGAGGCCACGGTGGATGGGCCGATTCTCCGGCTGGAGCTGACCAGGGTGCTCGACCGATAGCGCGAGATGGCCCGCATCCTGGCGGCCGGAGGGGCGGCAGGAGGCGACACCTTAAAGGGTTTTATGTGTCTAGCAATTGACAATCCGATGAAAGTGGCTGGGCTCCTGCATGCCATCAAGGTGCCCACCCCGAAGTCCCAGCAGTTGCAGCTCGAGCAAATTCAGACCCAACTTAACCTACAACATCATCAATAAATAAAAGCAAAGCCAAATCAAATCAAAACAATCGAGTTGTATTACCATATATGTGTTATATCCACGGTCGAACGTAGGTTCGACTTAGTGAGTGCAAATAAAAAAACTAAATAAACGTTTTCTGATTTTTTTTTTGCTATTTAGCGTAAATGTTGGAGCTTATTGAGCAATAATTTTCATACGCAAAATGGAAGTCACTTTGGCTTAATCTAGTAAAATGGAAAAATTTTCGAATTGGGACGGAATATTCTAAGCCATAACTTTACTTTTAAAATGGATTCAAATGGATCGAGTTTTTTTCCAAGAAAATAATTTGTTTTTTTTTATTGAATTAAGTACGTAAAAATTCTTCGCGGAACCTATAGATGATGGAACACAAGTTCCAAAGCACTTTTACTCAGGAGGATCCAATTGGCATGGGAAAACAAGAAATGGGTTGTAGGAAATTTTGGTTGTGTACCTGTGTAATCAATGTTTGCTTGGGTAGTGTTTAGTTGTTCTTAATAGATTACTTATCACCTGAGAACATGTACATATAAAATGTTTCTTCTTGCCGATATTAATAAAAAAACGATTTATTCTCCTTTCTTATTAGCCCACAATGGCTGAAACTTCAAAACGAATTTAAAATGCAATAGGACCTTTTAATTTATCAAAATATATATTCTGCATATATTTTTCTTATTAACCGATGAACACATAAACGGTTCTTAAATCACATTCAATGTCGAGGTCATTTTTACGATTATACAGAAGAGTACAAAGCCTTAAATAAGTTCTGTGTAAACGAGGTGAAGAGTGAAATTATAAAGCTTAATCGAACTCTGTGTTACAGACATACATATATATATAACATATAAAAATTTCAAAAACCAAAGTTTTCAAGAAAAACAAAAAAAAAACGAACTTCTTAAATAAAAATAAAACGAAATAAAATATTTTATCTCACATCGAAAAGTTTCTTTAGCTCCTCGAGGTTGAGAACACCGCCACCGCGTCTGGACACTCCTCCTTCTTTCTCGAGAAGCACCACTTTGGCAATCTCTAGCTATTTTATCTCACATCGAGAACAGTTTCTTTAGCTCCGCGAGGTTAAGACCACCGCCACCGCGTCTGGACACTCCTCCTTCTTCCTCGGGCAGCACTACTTTGGCAATCTCTAGCTTGTAATCCTGCAGCGCCTTAATTCGCTGCTCCACGGTGTCCTGACACATGTAGCGGTAAATGAAGGTAGGCTTCTTTTGACCATATCGATAAATGCGATCCTGAGCCTGTCGCTCGAGCTGCGGGTTCCAATGGAGGTCCACCATTATCATATGATTGGCCACATTCAGATTCAGTCCCACTCCGCCTGCGGTGAGGGAAAGCAGGAGAACCCGCTTGTCATTATTGGCGTTAAAGTCTCGCAGTACCAGCTCGCGATCTTTGGCGCATAACTGGCCAGTAAAGTCAAGTGTTTCCCACGACTGTTCCTGCAGACGCTTACGGATAATACTAAGGTAGCTCAGCCACTGAGAAGTAACAATAATTTTGTCATTGGTACCCGTGAGTAGCTCCTCAAGCTTATCAAGGACTAGCTTTAGTTTTGCAGAAGGACGTTCAAATTCAAAGATGGGATTCTGGGGATTAAGCAGCTTAAGAGCTCTGGCAGCATCTAACGGATTATTAGAGCTGCCCGATGATTGTTCATCCTCCATATCCCACGGCATAGTCTCCTCTTAACATTTTCGAAGGGGTCTTCTTCATCTTTAACGTCCTCTAGCTTGACATTTCGATTTCTTAAGAGACCGTCCTCCTCGTCAAACGGATCCTCTTCGTTAGCAGGTTGACCGTACTTGTCCAGTTCCGCAAGGACATCCATCTTGAGCGAACCCTCCACATCTGAAGCGTCCACCCTCACGTTATGGACATCTTCGGCGGTCATGGCACCACACAGCATCTAACAGAAGACAAAAGTTGTGGTAAGAATTACTAGGCAGAACACACATTCAAAAAACTTACCCCAAGCATTAGACCCGGATGGCAGCAGAACTGTCGCAAACGTAGCAACAACACCAGGATAACGATGCCCTTGATCTTAGCTCCCGGATTGTAGCCCAGTGATTTTAGGAATCTGTGATAGATTTCAGTGTACTTTGTGTCGAATGATTCCTCCATAAACTGTGGAGTCCTTTCCAGGGCATAATAATTTAAGTCACTGTTGCCCTGCTCGCGTTGCCTCAAAAACTGTGTAAAGATCTTCTTGGAGATGGCGGATAGGATCTGGTACACCGCCATTTCCGGCTCCGACAGCTGCACGCATATTAGTTCAACCTTTAGCGGTGGCAGTACAGGCATGTCACCGGATTCCTGCAACTGTTTTTTTGTCCTGCGCAGCATTAGCGGTTTAATAATGAAGTTTAGCCGGCGGTGGCCGCGCATGCCTTCATTTAAGTATTTTTTCCACTGCTGGAGGTCACGAAAATTCGGTACCTCCAGAAAGCGCAGCAGGGCAAAAACATCGATGGCTCTATTCTGGACAGGAGTTCCTGTCAAGGCCCAATGACAACGGGCTCGTAGCTGGCAAACTGAGCTACAGCCACTGGTACGTACGTTCCGAATGATGTGGGCCTCGTCGAGGATAACCCGGTTCCAGTGAACGGCGAAGAGCAGGGAAGCGTTTCCATATCGCTTCAGTTCACTTATTAAGAGATTGTACGAGGTGATGATTAAATCGTAGCTTCTGAAGCCCTCTATCCCGACCTCATGGCGATTAGGTCCGTGAAATGTCAGCACCTTGAGGCCATTGGGAGCCACTTTGGTGGACACTTCCTGGGCCCACTGGCACATGACGCTCATGGGGCATACGACTAATGTGTTCGCCGAGGGATAGCGAACGTTAACGTGCTCCTCTTCTTCATCTGAACTGAAAACGTCTGGTTCGGTAGCCTTCTCTGGCGTCTTGACCTTTTCTTCCCTTTCTGCAGCCTCCTCTTCACCATCGAGAATTCGAAATTTACTGCTATTCTTAGTACTGTCCTGACATAATCGCTTCTCTGGTGGCTCGTACTTTTCTTCCTCGGACTCCTCTTCATCATCAAACATACGAAATTTAGGGACCTTTTTAGTTTTCATTCGATTAAACTCCTGGGTCCACTTTAACTTCAAGGCCCGCTGCTTGTCTTCCCGTTTTTTGTTTTTTGTTTCCTGTGAAGCCAAGATCAGGGCGATCATACTCAATGTCTTGCCTAGGCCCATGTCGTCGGCCAGGATTCCTCCACAGATCTTCTGCCGCTCGCGGAACTGCATCCATTTCAAGCCAGCCTGCTGGTGTTTCAGTAGGCGCACCATAAGGAGTTCAGGTTGCTTTTCTATGTCATCGATCGTAGGACTTGGCTCCGAGGGCTCATAGAGGGTCTGAAAAATATATTTTATTTCATGAATTAATGAAATTATGAAAGGTCTGTTGGTTACTATCGATTGTACTGTTTTTAAATTAAACGGATACATTTCTGTTGACTGCTCTTTT